CAAGGGACCAGTAAAGGGAAGACATAGGGACGCTCTTACCTGTACGATAAAGATTGCATTTGGCAGGGAACCAAATGCCACCCTCCTTTAAAAGGCAGCTCCCAAACAAGCACTTGGCTGCTGCTGTTTTATTTCATCAGCTTGGTTTTGCCTCGGTTTAGCACGAGACTCGTATTACTTACCACATGCAGATACCCCTGTCAGATTACAGCCTTCAGACAAGACTGCTGTCAAGACTAACACAGAGAGGCAAAGAAGTGTAAATCCAGAAGGTGATGGGCACAGAAGCATTGATTTCTTACTCATCTGGAACTTCAGCTCTTTCAGGAGGCATGTCTGACTTTAGACAAAGACTAGATATTCACTCACTCACTCTGACCAGCAGAAATTCAGTCAAGGTACTTAAGCATCTGTGAAACTCTGAACACAGTGCCTTCGACATCAGAAGAGTTTTAAGAGTTGATTAAAATCTCTCCAGATTCAATAGATTGTTTGCCTTTTTTAAAGGGCACAGACCTTTGGAGAAGACACACAAAATGAGATACATTGCTAGAAGCGGCTCTTTAAGCAGAGACTGCCAAGTCCAGAAACATCCTCGCACTGCTCATTCACGAGGTTAGAATGGGGATGAGATACGGATGGTTGGAGCGAACTCATCAACTAGAACCGAAGTCGCTCCAGTGGCCCAAACTTTCCGTCTGAAACTAGCAGGGTACAGCACAGCAGGAGGGGAAACAGTCAGTGCTTGGAACTACCGGACGCTTTTACCTCAACCAGAGCACGAAGACAGCATTTTCTGCACTTTGCCTGTCGGCTGGGCACAGGAGGGCATCTCCACCGCCGCTGGCAGGAGGCTCTCGCTCTCTCCTCAAGGAAGAGCGCCTGATCAATAAGAATTGTGCTAACGGGGAGAACTGGGGGTCCCACATTTGCAACAGCAACAACAGGCTCTGAAAGGTCATCTGTACCAAATGAAAGCTTCCTTTGCTGGTCAAAACAGTTTGTCCTGCCAAACAGGCAATTAAATCAAAACAATCCACAAAAAATCCAGCAGACAAAACTTATTTCCTTTAAGCTTATTTAATGATATTTGAAACGCTTAAATTTTCTATTTCCCAGATCCTGAAAACAGATTTTTTTTAAGTGACCAATATTTAATTCCAGAAACATACAACCTTATCAGCTAAGTCATAAAAGAGCTATTTTACAAACATACATCTGGATAATTAGAACAATAAAGTCTTTTTAGACATTCAAACATGATCAGTAAAAATACAGGATTATTAATAAAGATTTTTGTGTATTTTTAAAGAATACTTCCAGATCTTTTTTTCTTCTCTTTAAAGTAAATCTCTGTTAAGAGTACATGATTGTATGTTGTACAAAGAAAATAAAAATACTCTAGTATGAAGAGAGCTCCACAAGACTTAATTCAAAATAAAACAGCAGTGTTTTGGCTGCAGTTTCCCTTTTGCAGTACATCTGCTTGTCAGTTGGCACCTTTGGGGAGGGGGAAGGAATGAAGGGATTTCTTTGGGGAACAGAGGGAGAAAACAATACCAGATACCATCAAGCACTGAGATTATAATCAAGGGTCACCTGCCGAAGCATCAGACCCCTCTTCTAATAGCAGGGACAGTATCTGTACATCGGCATATCTAAGTTTTATGAAAACACTGGAAATAGGCATAGTGCCGTCTCAAAGCTGACCAAAGCCATCTAGACTTCTTAGCTCTTGAGGTTTACGTTCCTCATCCTTCTTTCTGATCCCACCTATAGGATGTTAAAAAAAAATCTCCCCTTCCTACAGACAAGGTACGTTCAAGAAACCAGAGTGCTCAAACACCAGCTTAGCACTTGCTCTTCTACACGAGAAGGAAACTCCCCTTTCCAGAAAGTACCCATCTGACTTTTTTGCTTGTCCATCAACTATACCCAGTAACAGCAGGAGAGAAATCACTTCTCAGGAGGATATGAAAGAATGGCTGCTATACTACATCTTTGTTCCCAAGATAAGAAACACTTGCTCATCTTATATTTGGGAAAGAAAACAAAACAAAACAAACAAAAACATTGGGGAGGAGGGACTGGGGGAAACAAACCAGAGAACATTGTCCTGCTCTGCTATCCAGTCTGAATAAGGAAATGTACAATCAATCCATCACCAACCGGGGGCAAATTAAAATGCTTCCTTACACTGGAAACTGGAGTAATCTTATGGCTTAAAAGGGGGGGGGGGGGGGAGACGATCCTGAATAGTGCATTTGAGTTCCAGCTCCTTCCACCCAGCGAGGCATGGCCTGCGGTCTGCCATGCAGCAGATGTGCTAGAGAGGAAAAAGGAATCCCTCATTATTTCAGGTCACTGCTCTCAGAAGAGAGCGGATCCCTGACCCCACCATTTTCTCGAGGAGTAATGCCCTATTTGTGAGGATGATCAATGCAGCATAAGAAGGCCAGCTGAAACAAAAACCAAGCAGGACTGAGCACAGCATGTCATTTATGTTGCCCATAAAACTGGGTTCAAACAGGCTGGTCTTTAACATTCCTTAAAGCTCTCTGCAGCCTCCTGCACTGGAGACTGTCCCTTTTATCCTGCACAAAGGCTTCTCTGCCATCATCGTTAGCCTGGCACAAAGTGTGGACGTTTCCCCTTACACTTCTTGAGAGGTGACAGGGACAGAACTGCACCTGACCTCCCAGTGGCTAATGTCCAAGGTGGCATTAGGGGATGGTGGGGAAAGCAGCATGGGCAGACTGCTGCCCCATGGCCCGTCCGAACGGCTATATGCTTCTCGTGAAGTATCGTATGTTGCTCACCATGAACCTTGAAATTCAGGCAACTTGGAGAAAACCAGAGAACCAAGGATTTTGTCTTCAGTCACAAGGAAAGAGCATTAAGCAACCAGGCCTTCACAAGTCCCGTCTTTGCTGGTCTTCCAGTATATTCTTGAAAAGCCAGACTAAGCTCTCTCTAATAGAGTTCAGTGCTAATTTCCAATCAACCATAGAAGCCTGCTGGAAAGCTTTTAGACAGCGAAGGTCACAGTAGTTGCTCCTGTTTCTGGAGTGCGTAGACCCAGGCAAGCATCATACCAACTGATGCGGGAGAGTTGGGGGGGAACAAGGGTCCTTCTATTTAAGGGGAGAAGGGCCTTAAACACCAAGTGTGGCTACAGCCCAGTTCTCTTTCTGGCAGGATCAGGTAAAAGATGCCGTATCAGCATTAGGCAGCATTCTAGTGTGGGGGCTTATCAGAGCAAGTCTAGATGTTTATAGCCAAAGGAACCGTATGGCTGAAGGTGAGGAGGGGAGATCCCACCCAGTAGGAATGGGAGTGCTTGGCTAATACTGACAGTGTACTCAACACAGGTGACACAGGACAGGCCTTTGCGGGTCCCGAGGAAGAGGAAGCTCCTGCCAGCCTGGAAGAGGCGGCTTTGGCTTGTGTTGGCAGTGTAATGCTCCGCTGGTGAAAAATGATACTTTGTGCAATTGCCTCTTAAAACATGAGAAACTCCTCCCTACTCTGTAAGGGCTCAGGGCTCCAACTTTCACATCAGGCCCAAAACCATCTCTGCTCAACCTCCGTCAATCTGTACATGAACTTATCCCTTGCATATTTCTAATGGTTTTTTTTCCTACATGAGTAGACAGAGGACAGATCTGATTTCTTGCTAGTAGCTAAAGAGAAAACGTTTGTTTTAAAGGAGCAGGGAGTATGATCTTTATGTTGACCTAAGACAGATTCTCAGCACTTCATGCTGCACACAGTGATGCAAACAAAGCTATAGCAGTTGCGATGTGTTAATGGGATTTACAGGTTTGGCATGCTGTTCCAATTGAGTTAAATAGTTTAAAACTTGGGAAGAGGGTGCAAAAAAAGACTGCCTTACACACTTGCCACTAGCAGTCGTATTCACGGTGCCTGTGATACTCGGGACGGCTAGAACCACCCTATGCCAAGCAGGAACCGCCTGCCCTAGGACCAACTTCAGAGCAGGGGCACAGCCAGCTTCGGCTGTCCAGCGTGAGCTCTGCCGGTAGCCTGATATTTACCATCTTGTTCCAGTAAGAAGGAACAAGGCAGGAAGGAATTCCATCAGCAAACCCCATTAGAACAGACCTAAGGAAGTACTAGAGAGCTGTTTCAGCCTTCTTTGTTTTGCGCATCTCTGTTTCAGTGAGAACACATTGGCACAAATCAGTTTTTTTAAAACAAAACAAAAAACCCCCAAACAACCCCACCCCACCCCAAAAAAAACCCCCCAAACCCACCCCAAGCCCTCAGCAAGACATACTTTCAGGTACTAAAACTTACTGGCCCTATAATCAGCAGTACCTGTGGCTAACTCAAATGGCAGCCCTTATTCATTCAGTAGTGAATCAGGGGCAGATCTGCCCCACATCTTTGAAACACTTCTGGGTTTGCATTTTTTTTTTTTTTTT